ATTTTTTATATTTCTATAGAGCTTTGATCTGGTTGTGCATCAGAATTGTTTATGCAATTCATTTGCATTTAAATATATATGTATGCAAAGCGAAGAAGCCAAAAACGAGCAAATGAAATTTACCTGCACAGGTATATATGAATATTACACATATACATACATACATACATACATACTCGTATGCATATTATGATTATGATTGCTTCAGATATATACATATATATAATATGTACAGGTAAATTTCAATTGCTCGTTTTCTCCTTCTTCTTCTTCATCTTTATTTTCGTCTTTCATCTCGCTTTTTTCCTAGTTATTAGCGCGTTGGCGTTCGCGCGACTTTGACGCACCCACGCACAATGCGTATAGTGTGTGTGTGTGTGGGCCTTTTTTCTGCTCTTTAATTAAATGTGCTGTTAACTGAAGCAAAATCATCCAGTCGAGCAATTTTTAAATGAAATTGCTGCTGCTGCTACTATTTTGTTGTTGTTGTTGTTGTTGTTGTTGTTGTCGTTGTTGTTGTTGTTGTTGTTGTTGTTGTTGTTGTTGTTGTTGTTGTTATTGCTGCTGCTGATGCTGTCTACTGCGGCACAACCTTCACCCAGTTGGAAATCTCATTGCGGCCATTTCTCAATTGCCACAAATACATAAAAGAAACAAGTAAAAGTGCTCGAACCGGGCATGAGCGACGCGCAGATACCCAGTTAAGTGAAGTGGAGTAAAGTCTGAATAGCTCGGCTAATGCAACTACTTTAGCCGCAAGCCCATTCGACCTTGTGTGCTGCTCTTGCAGGGTATTTAGAGCAGTGCCAGCCAGCCAAGCACCACCCCAAATGACGCCCAGTTGGCCGAGCCATTTCCAGTTTGCGTCGGCTTTTATCCGTGTCAACACCATTTATACGTAGTTTATTGGCAAATCGCTCTCTCTCTCTCACACTCGCACTCACACTCACTCTCACTTTCTCTCTCCCTCTCTCGTTGCATACACAAAGTTATATGGCATTTATTTGCGGTTGCATAGGTAAAGCGCAAGCAGCAAAGATATTAAGGTCAGCAGCAGCAGCAGCAGCAGCAGCAATTGAAACACCTACAGCAAGTGCATTGAAACATTTATGAACAGCAACAACAACAACAGCAACATCAGCAACAGATTCAACTTTCAATTTAATTGAAATAACTGTGGAGCTCGGCCATTGCATAGGCGGGTGCCGTGCGCTTCTTTGGAAACCTCGTGTAATTGCATTTTGATTGCATTTCCCATATTTGAAAACTGAATTCGAATTAAGAATTCTTATCGGAACGGCGCTGCCCAGAATGGCCAGCAGGCAACACAAATGCTGCCGCATTTTCTATTTTCTATTTTCAATGCTAATTGCCAGTAATCTGAGCAGGGCGCAGCGACAAAAAGGTTTCCAGCTTTTCTCCTTTTTTTTTCTCTTTTTTACTGCTTTTCAGCTTTCCACTGACATTTCGAATTCCACGCATGATTTCCAGCGTTTTACGACTGCTTGGCGGAGGTTTCTTAGCATTGCATCATCAGCAGACATCAACAACAACAGCAACAGTTGCAAGAACAACAACTGCAACATTCTTGCAATCCCCATTTCATGTGACATGTTTATGCTTGTTCATGAGCTGAAAAAGGGTGTATTGGTTCTATGATTGATTATGAGAGACTAAGAGAGACTTGAAATATTGAAATATACACAGTCGAGTCTCGAGAATTTGTAACCAGCTAAAGGAAAGAGTGAGAAATAGAGAGAGAAAGAGGAAGAAAGCAATTGAATAGGCGAGATACAGACAGAGAAAGAGAGAGAGAGAGAGAGAGAGAGAGAAAGAAAAAAAGAAATGATAGAAAGAATTTGAAGGAGAGAGAGAGAGAGAGAGAGAGAGAGAGAGATAGAAAGAAAGAAAGAAAAAAGGAAATGATAGAAAGAATTTGAAGGAGAGAGAGAGAGAAAGTGAAAGTGAAAGACAGATAGAGAAAAAGTGAGTGATACAGGGAGCGAAAGGGAAAGAGATAAGGAGAATGAGAGGGACAAATAGAGAATGAGAGAGTGAGAGCGGAAGAGTATAAGTATTTTTGTTCAATTAGTCATTTAGTTTTAGCTCTTTTCGAATTACCTTGTCCCAACAATAGGCGTAGCTATTATAAACTCTATATAATTTTACTTCAAAATTCTTGATTTGAATAAACAGAGGTATAACAAAGTATATACCTCATATTAGTATACACATACATATGTATCTTTATACCATGAATTCCATATTCACTACATAGTCTAGCCAAATTTATCAGTTAGGAATCCGAATGTCAAATGAAGAATGCAACTCTGTCGTAGCAGTAGAACCCGGCTATAACGACTTCGCCCATACGGTTATTGCGATGAAAATTCTGGTCCCCCGATAAACTCATATGAGCTAAATCATACGGTTATAGCCTCTTCCGGGTATAACTATGTTCCTTTGAGCGTCGCTATAACCGGATTCTGCTGTACATCTAGCACAGCTTTACAGTTTACACAGTTGATTTTCTATGTTCTATCTACTGGAGCGTATCAAGTCGATGTCGAGAATATCTAAAGCTCTGTCGATCACTCCCGACTGCTTCTCTTTGCAGTTACAATGTGTTGCAGTTGCAGTTGCAGCAGTTGCAGTTGCAGTTGGCGCGCTAAAGTAGGCAACACATTTGGCTAAGTCTCCCCTCCTCCCTCGCCTTACCCTAGAAAAGCGCTCAAGTGGAATACGAGTGTGTGTGTGTGTGTTGCTCGTGCTCTCAATGTCACAACTGTTGCAGCAGTTTGACCCACACGGAAACCGTGTAAAATCGAAGCCAATTTGCATAACAACAAGAAAAACCAACACAAATGCTACAAATGCTTGTTGCCTTTTGCTAACGAATCAAAAGAGAACAACACCAACAACAACAACAGCAACAAAGGTGTGCAGGAGGAGGGGAAAGAAGTGCTTGCGGCATTTTTGTATAATTTGTGGTCCTTGCTGCCATGATTAATATTATTTATTATTAGTATTATTATTCTCATTTCTATTGCGTGCGCCGTACAATAAATGTCGGAATTTATTACGGCTTTGATTGTACATACGTTTTATAATATACATTTATATATAAGTTGCGCACCTTTAATGTGACCCAGAGTGCTATGGCTCTACTTTTTCTCTATACAGAATAAGCAAAACGGAATGTACCAGAGAATCTGAGAAAATTCTGGAAGAACTTTGAAAAGAACTGAAAAGCAGCTTCACTACTATTTGGCACTATTTGCAGAGAGAGAGAGAGAGAGAGAGAGAGAGAGAGAGAGAGAGAGGAAGAGAGAGCTATAGAAGGAAGTTAGAGGAAGACAGCGAGAGAGAGAAAGAGACAATAGGATAGGGGCAGAATGAGAGATAGCGAGAAGGACAGAAAGAGAGAGAGAAAGAGGGACAGAAACAGAAAAAGAGAAAAGAGACAGAAAA